ACCGATTGACAACAAACCTGTTTGGCATTGTCTAAAACAAAAAGCCACATAATACATCGTTTTCAACAAACCGGGTCTCGCAGTGGAACTTATCGTGTGAGGCCTAATGTCAGCACAGATTGAAAATATTGCGTCAAGTTGGTGAATGGCTTGCCAAGCACGCTTTAGCTTCTGTTTTAACAACTGAACCGAGTGCAGTGCAGTGTGCTTACCAGAGCCGACGAGCAGTTGACTTTCCACACGTGGCACATTTGGCCGAGTAGGACTGAGCGAATTGATTGACGGGGCAAACACGCTCCCAATATGTGCAGCAGTCGGGGTGTCCGAGTGGTGCTGATTGTCCCAACCGAATGGATCTTTGCTCGGGGGATCAGGCAACGCATCGGACAGTTGTGAACAATCTAATGGATCTGTGGATTTGGCCGGTTTCATGACCGGAGCCCCTGGAACTGAGTGGGGCGACTGAACAGGCGGTACTGGGGCATTTCGAGGTCCGATGATCACAGAGTGCGGTCGTCCGGGGATCGGTGGAGGCATCTGGCGCAATTGTGCATTTGTGAATTGGACCCAATGCGTTCGCCGATATGGAGGGAAGTAATAGGGTAAATGAGGTTCGTATGCTGGCGCAGACGGGATCTGTCAGGGAAACAGCCAGATAAAGTTATTAGGAAAAGAGGGGAATTTAAGGTGATCGATAGATGGAGCCCAAATGAGGTAAAGAATGGTTTTGAATGAGATATTAGGTAGTTTGCATTGCACATCCCACATCAAATGTGTGCGCGCTGTAACATGTGGCTTTTACATAAAAATAACTGCCAAGGGTCAACTCAGTGAAAGAGCCAAAGTGGTTAGCATATAGGACAGATTTGGGGTTTATATTTCAGTAGGTTTTGTATGGACGTACCGTTGGTGGGTTCTCAGATCGATCAAACAGATCTCCAGTTATATCTAAGCGAGGGGGGGATCCATCTTCGGAAAAAAATGACATCATTTGCTCTCCCAGACAGGCGGGNCAGGCGGGTGTATAGAGGCACCTGAACGAGTCAACCCTTCGTCAAAGGAACCAGCAACCTGATGATTGCAACTTTCAACTGCATTCAATTGCAGATTACGTTAAATCTTTTACTGACCGTTTTGGTTAGATTAGCTAAATGCTAGAGGAAAGGAAGTTTTTTATTACACACCGGTGTGCGATGGCCAGCAGACGGGGTGGGACCCCATAAGCACGAGAACCTGCTGTGCAGCGATGGTAACCGGCAACCTAAGTCCCGTGACTTTGAGTGCGAACCACAGAAGGCCTCATCTACCTCAGGTGTGGTATACAGCCGGGCGACAGAAAAGCTGCCTACCATCAAAGTTGGGTGGCGGTTGCGGGGCTCGAACCTCGGACCACAGGGTTCAAAGCATGCCAGTGACAGTGACTAAACTACTGCGCCACCATCAAAGAAAACTCCAAGTCGTTTCCACAAATCGGTTGCTTGTGATGAAGTTAGTCCACAAGAATCACATCAAAGGTGAATTCTTTTTATCCAAATGAAAAAATCTTCTTGGTCATCCGCCTACACAAACCCGCAATCTTTCCATTAAAACAACTAGAGATATAAAAAGACAATACCACATACCATCTAAGAGCACAACAGGTGGGTTTGACTTTTGATTAAAAATGTCATACTGTGACAATCCAAAAGAAATCTGTACGAAGCGAAATACAGCACAGTTTTCAAACCATGACAAGTAACAAATTGGATTACAGGTCTAATCGAAACTGAAGCAACAGGTTCATGTGAAACACTTGTCGGTTCGTATGGGCAACAGCATTTATAATGAAGAAATTTTTTTCAAAACTAATAATAAACAAGTCTTGGAGAGTCTTTATATTCGTGATTTTCCTGAATCGTTTATACTCAGCAGATGGAATGGTTCAAAATGTAGCGGATACTCCCACTTCGTCAGTAGTGGTTGACCTAGACCATGATGAGTTAAGAGCTAACTAAAGAGATATGGATTTCGTGCATTTCAGACCCACAAAAAGGACACGTACCGGAAATTGCATACTACCAAATAACGGATTTGGTTTGTAAGTGGGACTGTACAAATCGATCAGCGGAGGTGCAGACGGATCTTGTTTGGTTGAATCGGAATATTTGTCACTTGGTGGGTTCGGACCCGGTTGTGAACCGCTTCGGCGGTACATGGCAGCCGCTCGGGTATAACGACGAGATTCCGGTCGATGTGAAGGAGGAATAAAACCCGGGGCAGTCGTCGGTGTGCAGTCAGCAGAACTGGTCGGTGTATTCTGAGCACGAAAGTGATTTGGCTCGGAAGCACCAGTGAGATTCTCATGGCGGGTAACGCTAGTTCCATCCG